ATTAAATCGTGTCTGTTATTGTTTGTGCTGAATAAATGTATTTTTTTTTAAACGTTGCCTTACATTAGGATTTTCTCCTGTGTCGTGGGTGCGGTTACAAACACACAAATTCACACACACATGACACCCAGACCCGGAACAACAATTTGTGGATCACACAAAGAGTTGTTCCGTGCGGGAATCGAACCCGTGACACGTTGCACGGCAGCCAGTTGCCCAGCCACCGCACCAACCGTGCAGTCATTCTATTATCTATCTATCTATCTACACCGCAACCCTAGCTGTTCCTAAACTCCCACGGAACCCTCAAATGACTCATAACAAAACTAGCTGAATAAAGTTCAAGCCCATTCATAAATTAAAGGGTCAATTAACGTATTGAGCGCCCACTAATCTCCACAATTACCAATTGGACGATTAATTTATACAATTAAGATAAAGACGACATGATTATTTCCACGTATGTATAGGTACTATGTTTGTAGTGCATATAAGTATTCTACAAGTATTATAAGCGTGAAAGTTTGTAAATAAGTGTGGATCATCATCATCATCATCAGCCCATAAGTGCCCACTGCTGAGCAAAGGCCTCTTCTCACACGGAGAAGGTTTGAAGCATTAATCACCACTCTTGCGCAAGGCGGGTTGGCGATTTCAAACTTACAATTAGAAATTATAAGTCCAGGTTTCCTCACGATGTTTACCTTCACCGTATGTCAGTGGTGTCTAAATAATCATAGAAAGTACATATAACTCGGAAAAAGTCACATTGGTACTTGCCAGGTTTCGAACCCACACCCTCATGCATGAGAAGCGGGCTCCTTAACTTTCGGGCCACCACGACATATAAGTGTAGATATTTGTTCAAAAACTAACAATCACAGAATAACTACTATTCGGATCTAAATTTAAATAATTATGTGACACTTATTTATTGTTCATTTGAGCATGAGGTGCTAACCTATAAAAAATTTTAATACTAACAACAGATATAAAAATTCTTGTTAAAATGTATCAGTATGCCAGTATACATGTATAAAAAATAATTTGGTACAGAGGTAGATTATAGTCTGTCTTAAGGAACAATTAGACCACCATAGATAGACCAGCAAACATGTAGTCATCATTTTCCTTAAAAAGGATAAAAAGATGTGAAAACTTCGATTATAATTCTATTAGTCTATTTTAAGTGTGGGAGAGCCATGCTTCGGCACGAATGGGTCGGCTCGGCCGGAGTGATACCACGGCCTCACAGAAAACTGGCGTGAAACAACCACAACGTAGTGTTTCGCAGTGTGAGTGAGGTTACCGGAGGCCCAATCCTTTCCCTACCCCAATCCTAAAATCCCCATAATCCCAATCCTTAAAAGGTCGGCAACGCACTCGTAACTTCTTAGTTGCGGGTGTCCATGGGCGACGCCGATTGCTTTCCATCAGGTAATCCGTCTGACCGTTTGCCGTACTATTACATAAAAAAAAATTAATTAATGTCTGTGATATTTTACTATATCTGCCGATACCTTAAACATAAGCCAATAAAAAATATACCTATAAGTAATTATGTTATTACTCAGATGTACATATATAACAATAAGCGCCACTCGCCATAATATTATGTAAATTACTAACAATGTTGTGATTCATTGTGTTATTAATATTCCCGAGACATTGATGATGTAGCATTTGAAACTGGAACCTTAAGTAACTTTAGCCTATTAAGCCTCAACTAGCAAAAAAATTTAAACAACAACTTAGTAAAAATACCCAATTATTTTCGATTATATTAATGTTAAATTGCTTGCTGACAGAACTGTTTTAAGATGATCTTGACTTGTTTCAAGCCAGAATAGGGGCTCATTTTCATGAGCAATATTTGCTCGACGCACGACGCAAGGTCAGGGGAATTCATCAAATGACTTCTCCCGCCCAGGGTAAGGCGAGAGAGAGTGCCAGACTTGTACTGACTAATATCCAGCCCGTTCTTTTGCCTGCTCGAGGCGGTAAATTATTGTGGCTAGACTCGCAACCCCGGCTGACGGTCTTAAGTTAAAGACTTCAAAACCGCATTATATTAAAGCAAATAATAGGTATAGATATTATTATATCCGACAACAAATAGTCCACAAAATGTTATCCACGCACAATAGCTCATTAGCATTACATCGTGTGGGTGACTAAAAACCTGAATGGATAATGATTTGAATAATAATTTTATGTGACCTAAATACTTCGGTGTGAAGTAAATATGAATGTTTTGCTGCCATTTTCTGTGTGATAGAGGTATGCTTTGGTTTAAATGGGATGGCTTGACAGAAGTGATACAACAGCCTTGTAAGAACTAGTGTGGATCAACGCTAGAGGTCTGTTTCTTTGTTTTAGTGAGTTACGGGCGGTCCAATGTTCCCCTTCTTGAAAATTTGTAAATATCCAATATCTAACCCAAAAAGGGGGGTACACATTCGCAACTCCTCCAGTATTGTAAATGTCCATGTGTGGCGCTTATTGCTTAAACTCTGTCTACTCGTTTGCCACACTGACACATAAAAAATTATAAGAATGATAATACATTTTTGGGTCATATTGAAAATATGGATTTGTGCAAAAAGCGATAGGAAAGAGAGAGAAGTTTGAGTCATGATGATGTCTGATTGAAGAAAATGGCAAAAGGAGGGCAATATTGGGTTGACCTCAAATAGTTTGGGATAAAGAACCAGCTTGATCACTCGACAGGCTTGTTTAAGAAACAGGAGAAGAATAGGCCAAGACTGTCCTCACTTAAACATGATAAAAAATTTCACTCATTTTCAGCAATCTATAATTGACTTTTCTATGTAATTTAATCATTTTTTGGCACACTTAAAACATTCTGAATCCTTCTCCTTTAAAACGCAATATAAAAATATCAAAGAACATTCCAGAAAGAGTTTCACCGCACACGTGCGGATACCCACACGGACACGTCATAAAGTCATAAACGCGATGACACCCACACTACGAGGGCGTTCCCTTATAGGATGCACCCAGTCCTTGTAATTACGAACATATGTCAAGAATGACTATACCACACGCAATGCAACGACGGGCGTTGCATGATGCATTCTGCCGTTTATAGTCATAGAAAAAAAAATGTAGTTGTTAAATATGTGTCTGTTCAAAATGATGACTATTTTTAGTTAAGTTGATTTTGATTAACAGCTAATCTTGGTATAAAAATCTGCTTCATGCATGCATTCTGCTTCTCATGCATGAGAAGGTTGTTTCGAAATCGGACAAGTACCAATGTGATTTTTTCTGATTCATTTGTATTGTAAGCATTGTACGTTCTTATTTCATTAAGATAATACAGAAATACAGTTAAAGAAAACATCATGAACGAAAAATGCTGTAAGAAAAGCTAGCCTTTTAATTTCTAATTATAAGTTTGAAATCGCTAATCCGCCTTGAGCAAGCGTGGTGATTAATGTTTATAAGTACTCGTGTGAGAAGAGGCGTTTGCTCAGTAGTGTTCACTTATAGGCTGATTACGTATGTTTTTAATGTTAAGGTCCATACAAATTTTCTAAAAACAAAAGCTTTAAAAACATCCTGATGTAACTGACGAACCCTGGATCAAACTTCTACTAAAAATACTTGGAGATTAAAAGAAATACATAAAAGTTGGTTGCTTAAACGGTGATCCATAAATTTTAAAAGTTTAAATCGGTGGCTGCCTAATAAGTGATTCGGTTCTCAAGTCTTAAAGTCAAATTAAATACCTATATATCAAAGTTCATTAAGTTTGCTTATATAAATTCCACGCTTATCAATTAAGTGAATATTGAAAATGAAGCGAAACGAATCCATTTTCATCATCCTCATTCGTTCCAATTATGAAGGAATGTTGTTTAGAATGCACATGTTTAAGAATTTGATTTAATAAACACGTGACTTGATATCGAAAATAAATCACGATAAAAGCAACAGTGGAACCACCTAGCGACTGTAGGTAATTGGCGGCGAACCCCTACCATACATAATTTACATTTTCACGGTGGTTTTCCTTATAACTACTTGACCACATTCTACAAAATTTATAAAAAAAAATATCGAATGGGCCGGCTCGACCAGAGTAATACCAAGGCTTCATAGAAAATCGGTGTGTAGTAACATATGTTGTGTTGCACCGTGTAAGTGAGGTTATCGAAGGCCAATCCTTTACCCCACAATCCTCAAAACCTTTATCTTTAAATCCAGAAGCGGCAACGCACTTGTAGTACTCCTTTGGTATAACGACTGTCTATGGCCGGCGCTGATTGCTTAGTATCAAGTGAACAGACAGCTAGTTTTCGATTAATGACATAAAAAAAATGTTATGTGATCCTAAACTGTATGGACTGGACCCAGATGTAATATAAAACATAACAAATATGGAACCAAATAGTTGAAGTTACTGCGCAAAGCGCAAAGAGGTACCGCAGCTTGAGCAGAAGATCGAACAGATTGGTTTTTAGACAATAGTAATAGTTTGACACTTCTTCTCGTTTCACCTAAGGGAATAGCCATTGGACTATTTATTCCCATAAAAAAATACTAAAGTGTGTTTCTTCTATACATTTCAAATAGAATTTTTACATTTATCTAACATACATATAAAGAAAACAACAAAAGTGTAGCCTTAGAAGCCTGTAAAGACCAAATGAACAAGAATCTGAAGTAATTTATATGTACTATAAATTGTACTTAAATAAAGCTACAAATACACCTATGTATAATCCAAAAGATGAGGAAAATATACACAGACATGCGTCAATAAAGATTAATATTGTGTAAAGGATAAACTGTGTGTGTCAGGTGTTAATTTATAATGTTTGCATTGATCTCATTCACGGCTAAACTCGAATTGAAGACACTATAGATACAACTTAAATCCAAAAGATATCTACTCAATACTCAATGCTTCTTTCTTTGTAATGTACATACTTTGTAGTGATGAACTAAACATGCATTTTTTTTCTTTGCAGATAATAATCGATCCAAGACAAAGCATTTTAAACCATGGAGGAGATAAAAAAGGAGATTAATTTGGACTCCATACTGGAGAGTTTGGGGCCGTATGGCAGATATAATCTGTTGAACTTCGTGCTACTTCTATTCCCAATCCTACTCAGCAGCTTCTTTGAATGCGGATTTATATTCGAAGCTCAAGAACTCAATTACAGGTGAGGGTCAGAATTTTTTTTCTGCGTCGGACACACCCAGATCTGGAACAACAATTCGTGGATCACATAAAAAACTGTTTTGTGCAGGAATCAAACCCGCAACTCATTGCGCGGCAGCCAGTTGCTCAGCCACCACGCCAACCGTGGAGTCAAAACTTTTTTTTATATTAGTCGTTTTATGATCGACTTTTTTTATGGTATAAGTGCCATGGACACCCGCACCACCAAAGGAGTTACGAGTGCGTTGCCGGCCTTTTGGGGATAGGGGTTGCGGATATAAGGATCGGGAAGGGATAGGGGAAGGGAAGGGATTGGGCCTCGAGTAACCTCACTCACACGGCGAAACACAACAATGTGGGTTGTTTCACGCCGGTATTCTGTGAGGCCGTGGTATCACTCCGGTCGAGCCGGCCCATTCGTGCCGAAGCTTGGCTCTCCCACACTTACTTCATTTCTTCACTATTTAATGGATGTTATTATACATGTAAACATACTGCTTCAATCATTATATCTATTAAAGCACCGATTAAAATCCGTTGCGTTGTTAGCTTACAACTATCCAACACAAAAACAATTGATCAATTCGAACAAGTAATTTTGGAGATTATCGAGTTCAAGTAAACAAACAAACTTCAACATTATTAACATTACATTTTTATACAAAAAAGGAATTATAATTGAATTCTTGTTACTTCAAAATTAATTCATACCACAGCTCATTCAGAGATCATCTGTTACTTTCCAATTAAATTCATTGATGGGTGATTGACCTTAACATCTTCAGAAAGTATTTAAGGATCAGAATCTGACGTACAATCTCAGTTTGTTGCGTTGTTATTCTTATTCTGAACAAAAATAACTTCTGAGCTCATTTCCCTTTTGAATATATTTCCATACTATCTTCATCTTGTAATGTTAACAAAGTTAAAGGAACAAAGGGACTTGTGAGTAGGTATGTATGAAGATTTCAGCTAAGTTATAGCAACTACCTTCACTTATAGAAAGACTGACAAACTATTATACAACCTTTTTTTTGTGAGGGGAAAATTATCAAATGACTTCTCTTGCCCTGGTTGAGGTGAGAAGTATCAGACTCTTACTGACTAAAAACCTCCCGTCACTTCTCCTGCTCTAGGCCGAGGCCGCGGTACCTTATTGCGCTTGCCCGGCAACGCCGGCTGATTTGATACTTACATTTCAAAATTACTTGTTTATGGTTTAATTGGGATTTTAACTTTGACTTTCTAAAGTTTTACAATACCCGCATTCTTAATTATAAGAAAATTCAGAAGTTATCCGACTTCTTAAAAGAAAGGTCATATAGATTGATCGCCTTTCGTCATCAAACATTTTGATAAAATAAGAGATGTGACAAACCAGGAATAGGTACATAGGCAGAATGTTATCGAACACAGGTTTCAACTTTGTTGTTTTTACTACTAGCTACTAAACATAGAAGTATAAATAAGCCTTGAACTGCAACGATGAAGGTCAAAGTGATATAAATATAAATATTGTTAGGGTTATATGGTGTCATTTAAAAAGCTATTTAAACCTGTACATACAAAGAATGTGACTACATGGTTGGCGTTGTTAGGGAACCGGCTGCCGGATGACTCTTTGATGGGATCCATAAATGATAATTCCGGCTCTGGTGGTCATGCGTGTCTGAAATTTTATGTTTGTAAATACACTCACGACACAGAAGAAAATACGAGTGTAGGGGAACGTTTAAAAAAAAGAAAAGGAAGTTGAGGGATCTTCTATTTTTGTCAAAATTCTACAGATTCAATACAAAATGGTAGTAAAATCGTCTTTCAAACTGATACTAACCCAAATACATACCTAAACAAACCAAAAACTTCTTCAACCAGTATAACAGTATAACTATCTTTCATCAGGTGTGACGTAAATGGTTGCGAACAACGCTTCAACGACACCTCATGGATCAACTACGCCATCCCGACCAACCAAATCCACAACAAACCAGAATCTTGCATGATGTATGTGCCACTGAACAACTCAGAGTTCCAATGTTTACCTCAAAACTTTGATTTGAACAAAACAATGGAATGTGACAAATTCGTCTACGAAGATGAACATTCACTAGTAAAAGAGGTGAGTAGATTAATTTTTAAATGCATGCCCAGTTGAATATTTATGCCAAAAAGTACTTTAATCATTTGACTATAGTACTTTAAATTGCATGCGATAATAATATCTGTTTCGTGAAAATATACGTACATTTGCGAGATAAAATCTTGCCCTTATTTGTATTGTACGAAACTGTGTCTGTTTGCATAATCCACTTTCTCATATCAACTGCTGTGTCCAAAATGTTGATTTTATCAAAAATGAGCCTTGTATCTGCACTTGTATTATTTGCTTCATTTATAAATTTTGTTTGTAGTGTCAAATGTAGACTCGTTAACCTTACTTGGCTTTACATAATAATACTATATTTGTCCGCAGTAATCGATGTACACGAGGTGGACGCCACTGCGCCAAATATGTAAACTCCATGATCTAAACATGCTAGTACTTAATACGTAGACTCTTCTACAAATACTTAGTCTTCTTCATCTTTCAGTTCAACCTTGGCTGTCAGGAATGGAAGAGGGCTTTGGTTGGGACCATCCACAACTGCGGGATGTTCGTTGCAATGTTGTTCACTGGCGCCATCTCTGATCGGTTTGGAAGAAAAATGGCTGTCGGCTTCGCGGCTACTACCAGTTTTATATTCGGTTTCTCGAGATCATTCGCCCCTAATTACCTAACCTATGTTGCATTGCATTTCTTGGAGGCGGCGTTTGGAGGCGGATTGTATCCGTCAGCTTATGTGTTTAGTAAGTATTTTTATTTTCATTATTATTTCCAAAGTTATAAAATAATCCATCAATAGTATGATCAAGATAATATAGGTATTTCCAAATTAAAAAAGAGTACTATTAATAGTAATATGAGATTGACCAATTGCAAGTTTAAAAGTCAATTAGGTATCTAGGCTGATACTAATCAACTACATTACCACTAATTTATTAAGAAGACATAAAATCCATAGCTTCGATTAAAATTGATTTCCAGATCACAAACAATGTTAACAATAATCGAGAAGATTCTTACATTGATTTCATTCATAATCCTACTAAACCTATTAGGAAAGACATCACAATAGCAAAGCATAATCTTCAATATCGTTGACTATATATGGAGTTTCTCACGACATGCCCTTATTAATACTAATTTATTCTTTACAGTTATCGAGCTGGTCGGCCTTAAGCAGCGAGTTATAGTATCCGCCATGTGCAATATGACCTTTGTCATAGGCGTCGTACTCATTGCCCTTCTTGCTTGGGTGGTCGAAAGCTGGCGTACCTACATCCTTATCTTATACTGCCCAGCATTAATCGTTGTCATCTACATCTGGTTCATGAACGAAAGTGCCCGCTGGCTCCTCAGTAAAGGCAAAAGGGACAAAGCTGTCTCCGTACTTAAAAAAGCAGCCAAAATCAACAATTTGGATCCGAGGAAACTTGAGCTGGACTTCTTGGGTGATCCTTTATTGAAGGCTGAGAGTCAGACGACGGATAAGAAGTCACAGTTATCAAAAGCTATACGTTCTAGCATAATATGGAAAAGACTGATGATCTGCTCGTTTCTGTGGATGACGTGTTCCCTGGTGTACTATGGGCTGTCGATAAACTCTGTGTCTTTGAGCAGTAATAGGTACGTCAGCTTTATGCTGGTGACGTTGGTGGAGATTCCAGCGTATATTGTGGTTGTGATAGTATTGGACAAGTATGGAAGGAAACAGACGCTGGTCGCCACATACCTTACTTGCGCGTTGATGAGTTTGCTGTTCGCATTCTTGCCAAGAAGTAAGTATTTTTTTTAGATAATTTTAAATCATCAAAGCTTCTCCTCTGACAATTCGAAAATTAAAGATATGTTGTATAAGTTGTTATTAACAATTATTATGAACATGATTATCATCATCATTGTATTTATAGATTCTAATTTAACAGAGATATTTTCAATTTTAAATCAATAATGATCCCAGTATAAATAACTGTCCGTAATAGGATAACGCATCGTTATAAAATTCATTACAATATTATTATAATCACAGCGTTGTGCGATTGCTCTTTACTTTTCTTTTTCTTTCGTCAAGAGGAAGATCATTTGTTATTAAAGCTAGCAAATAAAAAAATACGTTTAAGTACAAAAAAAGCTTCTCGATTTTTTGAAGGTGTATACACCAAATGAGTTCTGAGGGAGTTACACTATTATTGATTAAAAATCACCCCATTCCTTCTTATACTACAATCCATTACAGTACCTAATAATGTTTGCAAAAACTTATTGCACTTTACCGTAAAAACAAAAGAACATGCATTCTTGAGTTCACACGTGTAACACGTTTTGGTAACAGCACAACAAGTTATGTATGTATATAATGTATGTATGTATGTACGAAATTGTATGCATTTCATAATAATGTCGATATGGCATATTTTTTTTATTTCTCGAGTAATTACGTACGTGTTACATCATACATTTTAAAACCTATGTAAAAGCATTTTTTTTTCTAGGCATACTATATTATGCATTTTTTTATAAATATGTCGCCGCATTTCCTATACCTATGAATAGTCTTCAAAGAAATACCGAAAGAAACTAGGTTTTTAGAAAAGACCCTTTCGTGAGACATACTAAGTTAATTGAGAAAAGCTCTACTAGTTTCAAGTCAAAGCGGGACCCTTACTCATGAGCAGCTTGCTGTTGTAACTACGGCTAGTATATCCACGTAAACGCGTATATCGTTATTTTTTCATTTAACTCAAGAGGTTACTTTTAAAGTCCAAGACAAATGTAAGAATAATGTTAATATGTGTATTTGTGTGTAATGCGTATAACACAAATTGTTGTTCCGAATCTGAGAGGTGTATGTGAATTTGTATGTTTGTAAACGCACTCATTAGACGGGAGAAAATACTAGAGTGGGGGAGACGTGGTTTTATAACAAAATCCGATAGTAATAAAAATGGTATAACCATAGCTTAAAAGAGCACAATGATAAAAACTATATAATTACTTATATTTATTTAAAAGAACACAATCATAATTATAGATCAATCCAATAAAATGAAGTACACCTTCATATAACATAATTATGCAACGCAACTAATTATAAAACTATATACAGATATAAACGTGCTTATCAACAAGGTTATCGTAAAGCCATAAACAACCCATTGAAACGTTAGAATATATAAACATCGGTTTAAAATAGTAAACAAAAACTAAATAGTAAATAAAATTTATGCGTTTGTAAACAAATTTGTTTGCAACGGAAACTAAGTGCGGATATCAGGAATTAGATCATTAGGCGTGTTAAGCTCTTTCACATCGAATAACTGCTATCGAGCGGTTTTTTTTTAACTTTCCAACTATATTCCTTTTTGTCGGTCCGGAGAAAGAAGACGGTGACGGTACAAGGAATGAATTGACATGATCGTTATGCTGTAAGGGGACAGAGAGTGATAAAAGTTCCCTAAGATCGGAAAAGAACGGTCTTCCGACCAGGCGGGTTAATCAGCCTGGCAATCTACTGGCCAATAGTTGTACGTTGGAATATTCTATGTGTTTTTTGCCACCAGTCTCGACGATAAGATAATATTAAATTTTAGCACCGTGTATTCCATTATGTACTTAAAGGACTCAATTGACTTAAACTAAAGAATCAGTGTCATAAAAGAATCGGACCAATATTCTAATCAAAAACCTAACCTAACCACACTGACTGTATAGAAATGGCTAGCAAAGAATTCTCAAAACTAACCAGAAAACCGATTACACACGAACGACAAACATTAACAAGTACAACTTACTAATTTACAAACGCACGACCGTATCAGTGTGAAAGTGCTCTATGCTGACACATACGTGCGTCGACCTTGCAAATTGAGAAACATTCTACACGTGTCACCTACTCCGTGGACTCACGAACACCAACGAACGCTCTCATGAAGTAGAAGACGATAAATTATCGTTCATAATGTACTATTAACTATTAATACCGGTCTCTTCTTTGCACGTGTTTCATATACTCGCATAATGTGGACATTATATTGTGATCATGAACCCTTAGAGGTCGGGAGAAATCTTTGGATGCAATCACTATAAATTTAAGATCATTGTATAGTCTAAATCAAATTAAAAGACGAAAGCGAAAGTTACGATGCTTGTTACTCAATCATGCCAAAACGGCTCGAGGGATCTGGATGAAATTTGGCACAAGCATAGGATACACTCCGGAGTAGGATATAGGCTACTTTTTATCAATATACCAGACGGACGAAGCCGCGGACGGAGGCTAGTTCATTACATTCACTAGTTATATTAAACCAAAAAAAAGAACTGGCTTAGTTGCGCATAGTGTACCGCGTTCCTAACTCAGAGCAGGAGAAGGAACAGGGGTTATTCAGTAAGAGCCGCTATCAAAAATAGAAAAATGTATTCCAAATAAACCGCCAGAATATGTAATCTAAGTTAACATCCCGTTCAAAAAACAAACGAAAACTAACAATATCCTTGAAGTTGAAACTGAAGTTGGTGTGCTAAAAACTCCAGAAATCTAGGAGCACATAAGCGATGAGGTAGTTTTTGGTCAGAATAAGAGTCTGGCAACCTCTCTCACCCCAACCAGTCACTGGATGAGTTTCATACCTCAAAAAAAAAACTGGCATAATATATTGTTCCATTGCCAGTACTCATTCATCAGCTATTAAAAATCCTATGTCTTCTCATCATCATTAGCCTATAAGTGCCCACTGCTGAGCAAAGGCCTCTTCTCACACGGAGAAAGTCAGAGCATTAATCACCACGCTTGCTCAATGCGGGTTGGTGATTTCAAACTTATAATTAGAAATTATAAGTCCAGGTTTCCTCACGATGTTTGCCTTCACCGTATGTCAGTGGTGTCTAAATAATCATAGAAAGTACTTATAACTCGGAAAAAGTCACATTGGTACTTGCTAGGTTTTGAACCCACATCCTCATGAATGAGAAGCGGGCTCCTTAACCTCCGGGCCACCACGACATGTATATGACCACTATGTCTTCTAATGTGCTCTTTTCTCTTTCAGATGATTACTGGTCCATACCCTTGTACCTGATCGGAAAATGGAGTGTGACCCTCGCCTACAGTTCCGTCTACATCTACGTGTCTGAAGTGTTCCCCACAAATATGAGGCAAACTTTGATAAGCATGTGTTCCATGGCTGGAAGGATTGGTTCGCTTATAGCGCCAATGACGCCATTATTGGTAAGTTTTGTAGCAAGTATTATATTATCACCAACTGCCCAGACTATATTAATTAATATCTGGAAAAAATGTTAAGTATATTAAGTGTGGGAGAGCTATGATTCATCACAAATTAATGACACAACACTTTCATTATAATTTGGCGTGTCACTTACAAATTATATTTTTTTAAGGATTTTCTCCTGCGTGGGTTTAGCGGTGGTTTACGTTTATATTTATTATAAAAGCGTTCTATAAAAGCGCTTTATACTAGTTTAAAAAAAAAACGTTTGGAGCATGGCATATAAATACCTTATTTAAAAAAAAATCTCACTCTAGGATTGTTTCCTGTATCGTAAGTTTGGCGGTGGTTAACATAAAAATTCACTTACACAAGAAGACCTGAAACAACAATTTGTGGATCACACAAACTACTATATATCGTGCGGGAATCGAACCCCTGACACGTTGCACAGCTGCTCAGCTACTGCACCAACCGTGCAGTCTGACTTACCAGACACCTAATCCTCTAAGTATCTTCTACATAAAAGGCTTTGTCATAATCTCAACGGTTGGTTAGCTGGGTTGGAGATAGAAATACTGTCTATTTACATTACAGTAGCTACTTACAATGAACTCAATCTGCCATCTGTCTTGTATAATGTACGCAGCTGGTTGGTAGAAGATTGATAGTCTATATGCAAGGGCTACCAACCACAGAGTATATATAGATTCAAGGTTAGATGTCAATGTCGTTAAGGTGTCTTGTAATATTTTTTTTACTGCTTAAACGCAGTTCTATTTTTTTTCGAAATTCGAAACTCCGTTTAGAAAATTGATTTGAATAATTCTTGCTGCTGCTAAAAATTTCTTGCTTGGCAACCAATAAAATTCGAAATTTGAATTTCGAACTGACAAAATCGTCTACGTTTTTACGGCCTTTTACTCGTTAAGCAACATACTTTTTACTTAAAAATTATGTCAATACAATGAATTGTATCGTAAAGCTCAAAAACTCAAATAATGAAAGGGTGAAAGGGATATTATTTATTTTATTATATTTTGTAACACACTTGGTCTATATGGCTATTGCTATAGAAGGTTACCACCGTAGAACTAAACCTAAGCGTATTACAATGGTCGTGCGCATCAAAGAACCTTTAGATCACCGCAGATAGGGCCCAATATAGCCGCGGCCTGGGTGAAAGAAGACATTGGGTGGTTTTTGGTATTCTTTAGTCAGAGAGTCTGACCAACCAACCCAGGGTGGGAGAAATCCGGTTTAAAGAACATATTTCAATGTTTTACCAATAACCAAGTATTTTTCCATTGCAGTCTTTGTACCACAAATCGATGCCGACAGTAATCTTCGCAGCTATGTGCCTCATATCCAGTACCCTGGTGTTAATGCTCCCGGAGACCAGGAACATGAGGTTACCAGACACGATCGAGGAAGCAGAGGCACTCTCCAGAAAGAGAACCAAGAATTGAGGCTGTTCACCCATTAATTAAGTAGGTATAACCAAAATTGTAGAATAATCAAATATTAATCTTATTCCAATTACTCTTAAAGTCCAAATTTGATAAAGACATTGTGGTATAGATGCAGCATATCAAGCTACCCTAAACTGTCGAAACTTTTTATTAGATTTTCAGTCGTTTCTCCAAGTACTAAAGTTGTAATTCTATTGACAGATTGGGATAGCTTAATGTGCTAGTGTAGGTACCTTTTAGACTAAGCCTTGAAAAATATTTTGTAAAAAAAATGTGATTCCTTGTTTTTGTGTAACCAAACTGTGTTTTGTTTTAATAGTGGATACTTAATTCGTACGATATTTGGCGAAATTTAACCTTATAACATATGAGGATAGAAAACTTAAAAATATTACTTACAGTAACGAACTTAAGGTATACTTTTGTATGTCTAGGCCATTGATATCTTAATATTGGAAAAATATTTGTTACTTAAAGACTTTATTTTCCATAAATTAATGGAGCTTTACATTTTCCAAAGTTAATATTTACTTACCTACATAACAAAAATTGTCCATTTCTTCTGCCAAAGTCATAATTATCCATTACCAAGACTTTTATTAATTATCATAAATACCATATACATATATGCATGTTTAAGCTATCTTATGCACGCAAATTATTTATTTGTAACTCTCTTTTTAAGCAAAATATGTCAAAGTCAAAGTCAAAGTCAAAATCATTTATTCCAACTAAACCATAAATAGGTACTTTTGAAACGTCAAAATGTCAAATGTAATGTTATATTGCATCTCTGTCTTGCACATGTACTTTGATTATTGTGGAAAAGAGACAAATATATTGTCATTATGTCGAATTAATTTAAACTTTTGTGTTGTCCCGTATTATGTCTATTGTAAAATACTTAACTTATTGTATGTTATACATGTAAAACAATCAGTTTAAAAATAATAAGTACTTACACAAAATACTTAAATATTAGTTCAAACGATAAAATGCTTTTAGCCAAGAGCAAAAAGTTCAGTTTGTTGCATTTCTGATTTATATTCCTTTGAAATAAAAAAAACATAAATAATTTCACAATTTTTAATCAGGTACAGATATTCTATGAAAATGCTATTTTATGAGAAGGCACCAACAATGTATATTTGTGTAACGCAATTAATTGCTTTTCACTTTATTTAGGAATGTAAATTCTATTTAAAGAAACAAATAAAAAGCGTAATCGTTTTTTAAACAAAATTCAATCTGAATGTTATCAAATGTAACCAAACAATTACTATAGTACTTAAAAATAATTGAACAGCTAAAGACAATTTTCCAATGCATTACCAAAACGTTAAAGATGTGCTAGAATATACGAGCAAAAACAAAACGAAAATAAAAAATAAAACTCAAAATGTGCTCGTATTATTAAAATCATGTTGTAAATCAACAATAAAAACCCTTAATTTTTTAAGAATGGAACACACTTTTTTAATTTTTAAATAAAAAGTTTGCATTTAAAACAATTGATTGAAGACGCCTAATATCAAATCGCAATTTATGTACCAACATAATAATAATAAATTACACTAGAATAGCATTTTTATAGTCTTTTTGATATGTTTTCTTACAATGAAGTTTCTATAGCCCACTCCATATTCTTTTACAATATTGTAATTTAGTACTTGTAACATAATCTAAAACGTCAATCTTATTATCCAATGAATTCGTTTACAAAAAATATGGTATTGTAAACAAGTTCTAATTACAAAAAAAAATGTTGTTGAAAACATTTTTTTGTTACTTAACTCGAATATAACGTACTATACAAAAAAACAAATGAAATAATTGCTACTTAATATTTATGTTTATAAATAAAATTCCATGCATGCGTTGGTGGAAAAATGAAAAAAAAATGTTATACAAAGATGGCGCCAGGTTTGGGGCGAGTTTACATTGATATTATCAGCTACAAATGGGTACAATATTGTATTTTGATTTTAAATAATTTGTTTTGCATCTTTAGTTTTATTTAGAAAAGCAATTTTTGAATTAACTTGAAATACCTGGATGTTATTTTTGACATTTCATTTTATTTTTAAAGTCATTACTAAAAAAGCTTTTTTTTACAATTGCAAAAGAATTATGTTCTTATTTGTGCTGATAATATGAATAAGTAGACCTACATTTATTTATTTATTTAATTTCTATTTACGTGTTAATGTTTAACAGTATTTTTGTAATAAGTGTCCACATCTTTTTATATTTAGTTATTTTAAGCTAAGTAAGGGACCAAGATGAATAATTGATTTGTCCATAAATTACGCCTGGATTTCTTCGACAATCGATAAAACTATGTATATCTACTTGATACATACATAAGATCATAATCAACAATAGCTTGGGAACTCAATTAATCGTGTTTGAAAATATAAAGCAATTTTGCTTACTCCATCAGAAAACCAAAGGATAATCTTAGTCAGTTACATTACAAATACCTAACCGATTTTTAGACACAGGTTGCTCTTAAAATCAATTTTCATTAATCGTAATTAAGACTCCATATAACTCACACGAGCAGCGCCAACGTACCATGCAAAATTATAACACAAACGTCAAATGGCATAACCTGCAAATCTTCGATTAAAGTTTAATTAAACCACAATTTTCCATAACCTATAAATATTACACACATACCTACATACATAAATCACAAACGACAAGTGTTTTAATGATTATTCCGATGACGAATACGTCCCTAATGACTAAATCATCACAACATTATGCCACCTTGATTGCTTCATCATTTTAATCATGACTTTTATTGTAATTTCGATGCAAAATATAAATCATGGGACATCATTATCTTGACACTTTAACATCATTCGTCATTTTGTAGTTTACAATAGATTTGTGTTAGAATCGTATTATGTCTGGCCATCTCTTGATTGAACGTTGATTAATTACGTATTGATATAATTATACATTTAAATAAGTATCTCAACATCGTTAATTATTTCCATCTATGCCATATAAATTGGATTTATAATTAGTTGATGCATTACGATGCATACACGCTTTAAATAGGCGTTTTCTAAAATTAGAAAATAGAATGTGGTGAAAAATCACCGATTTAAAATAACGCTGAAAGTCAAAATGTTGCAAAACGTATTAAAAAAATCAAAGAATTAATGAAGAATTGTTCGCCAAATTTTTGTTTTACAAAAACATAACAAATAATAAAATGTAACAAAATTATAAATTGTACAAAAACTATAAGTTAACAATTACCTTTACCTACAAAAAGTTTTAATGTACATTTAATCACTCTAGACAAGCTCTTTATAATAATTTGATAGCACATTACTACATTGTTGGGACAGATTAATCCTGGACGTTTTAAATTATAGATAATTGTCAAAACTACTGAGCTTGTTAAACTGAGCGCGATTTACATGTAGTTGTAATTATAACAACATATTCAGTAGACAGTACTTACACGTGTCAATATATGCGTTTAAGTTTGTATATTGCGGTCATTCTCCAACAGGTACGCCGTAGTTTTGCCATATTGGCGTAACATTTTTTTAAATTTATCGCACCACCTTAACAGACTCCTTTGAAGTGATCCTTAATATATTTCAATAGTTTAGTGTATTTAAATCAAATCCCTGCCTTCGTCTATTCTATGCAAAACTGCGAAACAAGCGGTGTCGAATTCAATTGGCAGATTATATGAAATTTTCTATGATATGAAATACAAAAACAGATTAAAACGCACAGTTTAAGATGAAAACAATGTCCATAATTGATATAATTGCAAATCTGAATTCTAATTTCTCATTTCAATCCAACCTATTTATTTCTACCTCCAAGCGATACGGTAATTCGTTCTCGTTCAATCACAAACCGGCTGTCAAATGTCAGTTACAATGACATACTGAATAAAATGTCAATGTCATTCAAGTTGACATCTAATCGTGGCATGTACGTAATTTTGATTGGATGGGGTCCCAAATCCGTTTGGTTATTAAATATTGATGTTAATCCTATATCATCTTGGGAAGTAATATCTCACACAAATTAGAAATAACTTGCTTAACAATGTACCGTACGGCTATTAAAATTAAGCAGGAATTCGCATGCTTCTCGCTGTGATTTCTTTTTTCATAATAATGAACCATAAAATTTTTGCTTATCAATATTATTGTATTGTAATGTCAATTTATTTTTTTCTGTGGCGTAATTTATGGACTCACCTTTGTAGTGATTAAACCGAATTACTACTGCACCCAGCATTTTAAACTTTATGTCGTAGCCTTAAAATACATTTTTAGTATTTTATAAAATTTTAGGTTATGTTTTTTTCTGTAATATTATTGTAAGTACTTTAAAACATCAGTGATTGTAATTTTGTGCTTTTATTATGAATACCAACCTATTATTATTGTAATTATTTATTAATTGATTGTATTTGGTACAAATACATTTGTTGAATACGCGATTTGTATAATAAAGGTTTTTGTAAAATACTTTTTGATTGTTTTACTGTCGGATTTACGACCTTTGTGGTGTAAATAATTATATTTATGTAGCTTATGTTAATGCCCCGATGGGACTAATTGGCCAGTATATATGTATACTGACGCATATTAATCACCCAATGAAATATTATCGTGGCCAGCTTAACATCTCAATGGCCTGTACTAATTATGTTCCGAAATTGAAATTTAAAATTAGAATTATACTCACTATTACCTACCTACTTTAACTTGTGAAGAAAATTGAACCGATGGCCTCTCGAGCATAACCAATCTGTGTGCCTAGGTACATAGGTGAACGTTGATAACCAAATACAAAAATACCACGACGTTATAATAATTTGTTATTCATCTTTTACACAAGTTTTAACTACAACAAAAGATAATACGAAGTTAAAGTATCATTACCATAGTAATAGTTTCAGCATACCGCACTCATTAAACTTCCTTTTAGGGATGTTGTGAAGCTCCGTAACTGGATTCGAAAGTATCGATATAATAAATAAACATCGATAGTAAGGTGCTTCTTTTTATTTGGAAAACATGTCTGAATTCAGGTCCAAATACAGTGTGTCGGATATCAAGGATATAGTTTTATTCATAGTCTAGATTAAATGATTTAATTTTACCTAATAAGTTCATCGATACTTTATAGAGATTGTAAAAAAATCGATCGTAAATTCTTTTATTTGGGGACTTTAAATCGATGACCGGCTTTCTAATAATACCCACCAATCAGCGAAGACAAGTTGACGATGCAAGTGAAGACTTAGAATCAGCAACATAGTATTTAATAAGCCTATATCCAACAGTAGTCCAGAAATGACATAAAAATAAAGATAATGATGAACTGAAGCTGGGATCAATTCAACTTTACATCTAAATCCGTATCCAAACCCGAAATATCAT